TAAAATGTTCTTCCCAAATCCATAAATAAATAAATAAAAAGAAACGGCAGCAATAAATTGAGGATGATGTCAGCATAATGTCAGTGTACTAGTCTCACTCGTTTCATGGCTGATGAAATTTAAAATAATAGCTTTAGTCGATGACACAAAATTATCTTTTTGTTGTAATGCATAATACATCTACTTGATAACTTTACAACCTTCAATTAATAGCTTGATTCTATCCATCACATTACATAACAAAATGTTTCAACATGGTTTATCATGAAAAACAAGAATTTGCTATTCATCATTTTTCTATCTGGGTTCCCAATAGGCTAATGTATATTCTATATTTTCTTCATGAAGTATGAAACCTATCTTTCTCCTCGATAAGGTATAATTTACTTTATCAAATTAATTTGTTTCCAATATCTAAAATAGATTACTTTTTTAGCCCAAAATTTTCTATATAACAATCTCTATAATAAGAAGAGAATGAAAACTTGAAATAGTGCATGCCTTTAGCCTCTTCTTCTTCCTTTTTCTCTCCAATCTCTATCTCAGAAGTATGGCAAAACAATAGATGCGGGGAGCTGCGTCGGGGGTGGCGATCCCCCTTCGAATCTCATGTTGGCGATCCTTGATCCAAAACCGAGCAGAGCTCGCTCTCCTAGTCAAGGGCTTGATCCCTATGTTCTAGGCATCGCGATCCTTGACTACAAGGGTTATTAATTATTTTGGAAGGGGATCGTGATCCCACTAAAAATGGGGGTGATAATGGTTTGAAAGGATCTAGATCCTAGGGTAAGTTTCAAAAGTTCTTGAATTTTGAACACGTTATCTTTGATTTTGTGCTACCTTTACTTTTCGACAATTTTCTAGTTATCATGGTTTGCACAAGTGCTTGAAAATTGGCAAACCAACTTGGAATTGCCCGAATCGGCTAGGACCTAGGAGACTCCCTATTCTCAGATAGGCCCGAAGTGGGGAAATCATCAAGGTTATCCAAAACCAAGTGGTTTTGCTTAAAGCATGTCTCATCTACACAGGAACTCGAGCAACTCCTAAATCGGTTCTTATCATGGCCCTCCAATCTCATTTTTCTCAATTTTCAATGCGGCTCTCAGGCTACAAAGTTCTCATTATGCATGTGTAGATAATGCTAGAAAGTGGATTATAAATTATATATTCCTCAATTTTTAAATCATTTTACATCACTTTACAATACATATATCAAGCTGCTCCCAGGACCGCTTCTTGAACAATGGTCCCAGACGCTCCCAAGGTAGGGGGCTTCAATCATGGGTCAGTCCCAAGCTCCAACTCCCACATCCACTCCCGTTCCAAACGACTATGTGAACACTACTCGTGAGAGCATACTGCAACTAGAACTTTATTTATCCATTAATGTATGCCCATAGTCTTCAAAAGCTTGGCCAAGAAGCGAGTCCAAGTTGGCTTGCCGAATCTGAGACTAACCAGTCAAGACCCGCACCAAAATGATAGTTTTCTTAAAGAACAGAATACACTCAATAAAGACTCAGGCAGGCCCAAGAAGACTCATTCAGAATCAGTCAAGACTCAAGTTACCCAAGTTGGGGTCATCTGGAGTAGGTAGGGTGTCAATTCCGAGAAACTTGAGTGCGTCTGAGTCGGGACTACTTGAGCTTTGGAACACTGCTATTGGTACTAAGTTCTAACAAGGGCCTATTTGAGAGACCGCCCTATTATACTTACTCTGCAATATAGGTAATGCCCACATATGAAAAACGTCCATGGGATCGCTCGCATTTTGTGGCATATTTTGGTGATACAAACCAATTGCTCAAACCAGAAAATTGCCAAACATTTGCAGACGGCTTGGAATGAGCTGAAAACTCATATGATCCAAATAGGACTTTGTTTGCCTTTTTTGCTACCTCTCTATCTCTTACTTCAAAATAGTTAAAATGTACATATATATGTTTGTAGTTACGAAAACACAGCTGAGGTGTAGGTCGGTAAGAGGGCATCCCAAATGTCGGGTCCTCAGAGTGCTAGAAGTTGAATACAAATGTGGGTTAAGTCCCCATACAGAGTGGTGGAGTCTAGAAAACAAAGAGAAGAGTGAAGTATAAAACAATAGGGGATGGGAGCACCCATAGCCAAAAACTTAGTGAGGACCCCCTAAAGCAGCCTCCCAAAAAGTGACCGCTACTACTATGACAGCGTGGTGCTCCCAATAGTGGCACCCTCTCTTTTGAGAGCATCGATGGCTAAGTTGGCCTCTCTCTGCGCTGGACCAAACTTAAAGAGGCATTCTCATTTGCCTTGCCCTTTGGGGCAGCTTGGTCCTCCAAATATCACTTGTTTTAGAGGGTGGTCTGTCATCCAGGAGTATGTTGTGGACGTTGGGCTCGGAGTGATAGATTCTTTCGTACTCCTTGGAGTTTGCTGAGAAATAGGATTCAACAATGAAGTTGAAGGATCTGGGATCATTGACTTGCAATGGTTGGCTCCTTTTGGCTGATGACTTAGGGAACACCAAGGGGGATGGAGGGGAAAGCCGAGAAAGGGGATTGTGGGACTGCCTGGTCCAAGGGTAGAGGATGGGCAACATCGATGGCGGAGATGAAGGAAAATATCATAGAGGGTGAGGTGGGAAGCAACAATGTTAGGATTAAAAGGTAAGGGCAGGGGGAAAGAAAGGCTATGGCCTATACTAATTGGGAATTCTTAGCAGTAACACACCTCCACGACATTGAAGTTGGTTATTGCTGCCGCCTACAATTCCGGCGATAGAAGGCAACAAAGGTCGAGGGGTCAGAGAATACTTGCATAAAAGGAGAGGGCCTTAACTGGAGAGAGAGAAGAGAGGTGATATCACCTATAGGATAAATGACCTCCATGAAAGGAAAAATGAAAGAATGAAGGGTGGTAGATATGAAGTGACTAGTAGGGTCTTGAGTTCTTTGAGGACTCGGTGAGGGGAAAGGAGAGGTAACAGTAGGGAGAGGGAAAGGAGGAAATGGGAAGAGGAAAGTGCAAGCCATTAAGGTGGAAAGGTGGGAAGAAAATTGTAGGGAGTTACAAGATTAAGGGCTCAGAGGGACAGAGGAGACAGGCAACAAGCGGCAGGAAATAGAAAAAATGGACGCAAGGCAAGGAGTGCAGAGGGTGAAGAGTTATAGAGGAAAGCAGTGGAAGAGCAGGGAGGAAGGAGAGAAGGAATTTAGAAAACCAGTAGGTTTGGAGTAAAATGGAGTAATAATGCAGCTCTCAGTGTCACACTATCCAACATCCACTTGGACGACTTCATCGATGCAAGCATCTCTGTCTCTTCACTATTTATGTTCTCCCCTTCCAATCTCATCTCATAGTCTACCAACCATGCCCAATGCCACATGATCTAAAGCACATTCTAGGCCAAATATGAAGCCAGATTCCGCTTTGTCAGACCATTGACATATCATTATTTACATCCAAACAAGTCCTAAGCAACCAAGAACCCACCACTTGCACCAAAAGGTCATGATGTTTTCATAATGGGCTTCAACTTTGTCAAACTAGATATCATACACAGGATGGAGCCTTGATCAATATCATCCCTCATGGAATTACGGCTGGTCTGCTTGTGCATGCCAATGACAACATAGGTGCACTCATACACAAGCACATGCTCCGCAAAATATGAGCACCTTCATTTTAGGTTTTTTCTAGAATGAAGCCCCTCATAAAGAGTGGCCCCATTTGTGAGTCGGTATATCTACCTAGACAGTATCCGACGACAAGCTTTTTTTAAGGGTGTAGAACGTAATTGAGCAAAACTTGAAAACACCAGCTAGAGCCTATATCATAGCAAGGGGGGATTTGAACTAGCCCTAAAGCATGAAATACAACCTACAAGCATCAATGTATATCTATAAAACACAATCTAGCATGTTTTGTGTTGATGACATGAAACTCATCAATGAAAATGAGTTCCTCAATGAGGGTTATCAATTATAACACAATCAACTACTAACTTGGTTGATTAAAACCCTAAATAGTTTGCTAGGCCCTGACTAGCCTTGACAAATAACTGCTTAATTAGATATAGCAGTGGCATGAGGTTTGCCACATTCCGCATTATACATGATTACTAAAACTTCTTTAATTAGAATGTAAAGAATGTAAAAAAAAAAAAGAGAGGCCCACTGGCGTATAGTAACCTGAGAAACAGTAGGAAGATGATTCCAAGATTGACTGAGCATGAAACCAAAATTTCATCTATAAGTGAAAGTAGCTTCATTCATGAAAATATGACTATCTTTTGCTGATGAAAGAGAGTGATAAATAACAAACCCTAAGTAGGTTTCTAAGCCCTGAATAGCCATATAAAATAACTGCTTAATTAGAAATGGCAGTGGCATGAGATCTGTCATATTCTGCATTAGATGATTACTAGAACTTGTTTAATTAGAATGTAAAGGAAAAAATAGAGAGGCCCATTGTTGTACAGTAACTTGAGAAACAGCAGGAAGATCATTCTAAGATTGACTGAGCATGAGACCAAACTTCATCTACAAGTGAAAATAGGTCCATCTTCGACAAATATGACTATCATTCACATGAGAGAGAGTGCTAAATAATAAACAACATTCTTACATGGAAGTCTAAGCAATAGATCCTCCTATATCTAATTTAAAGTCCTAAAAGTAGAAATCCCAAATACCATTCAACAGAATTTGTAAATAACAATATCTTTGCATGAAATTCTAAGCAATAAATCCCAGTCTCTAATGCAATGTCACGAAAATTAAAACCCTCTCTAAATTTTGATAGATCGAAAGAAAGAACATGAAGTGGAAGGCGCATGCAATTAATCTTTCCAAGGATATTATTCTAATAATAATCAATCAAACGAAAAAGCAAGAGAACTACAACAAAGTGCATCTACTCCATCCTTCAAATTTTTTTTCTCATCACAAAAATAATCAAATCGAAAAACGAAAAACAAAAACAATAGAGAAAATTAACTAGCATAGGAGAATGCACACCAGGCAAAAAGGCAAGGAATCCAAGAGCCAGCAAGCCATAGGCTTGAGATCGATCGCCACCCATGTGACCAGTGTGCACAAAGTAGAAGAGTAAGAGAAGAACACATCCTAGAGAGAGAAGGAAGAGTGCCAGGGCAATTGATTTCCATGGAATCCTCTTCGTGGACTTTGGAGTGTATGAAAATCTAAGATCTTGGTCATCTTCATCCTCTCTCTCATCATCGGGCAAAGGTGAGTACCTGATATTTCGCCGAGTAGCCATTACTGCGATGCAAGATCCCAAAACTCAGCTTGAGAGGCTTAAAAAATCAAAGCCCTAAAACAGTGACAATAGATGAGAAATAAAACTGTGTTGCAAATGCTGTAGCATCCAACACAGAGACTTTGATTTCCAAAATCAAGGCTGAATGCGACCACGTATAAGTTGCAAGCTTTGGTATTTATAGTCAAACTCTTTTCTTCATGGCCTGATCTTTTTCTTCCTAGGAAGAAGGTTTTTTTTTTTTTGGGTGGGCTGAAATCCAGAATCTTGGGTTGTGTTTGACATATCGAAGAAGCAATGGCTTCTAGCAGCACCATAGAAATTTCCGTGTTTTTTAAACGAGAAGTGTTACATGGTTTTTGGAAGTCGCGGCTTCCAAATTAGCATTAAAAAGTGTTGATATGGTGAAACCGCAGCTTCCATGCTATTCCATAGAAGCCATGACTTTCGAAAGTTGGTCGAAGCGGTGAATTTAGTAGTAGATTCTTCCACCAACCAACCAAACCCTTATATTTTTAAATACGTGAATGTTCTAAAATCCAAGATTTATGTTTTTAATTACAATCCTGTTCGGGAATCAATTTGAAGATCTGTGAATTCTTTGTAGGCATCTCTATAACCATCGTTGGTCATCAAACAGATTTTCATGAATTTCCATATGTACTATTTCACAAATACAAAAGGGACAAAAATTAAGAAAAATAAATACTAGAGGAGTTATTTACTACCTACACCCCTAAAAAGGCACATTATCAAAATACAATTATCTCTATGCTCCTCAAGAAGACACGATTATCTAGAAATTATTTATTTGACTGAAAAATTCACATCAAAGCTTAATAACAAATCATTCAGAAAATACAAGTCCCTGTACCAAGGCTGAATAACAAATCATTCAGAAGATAACAAGTCCCTGTAACGCGTTGAGAGACAACAACATATCCACTCAAGTGATGACTTATGTTTTATATGCCAAATAAAATACACAAAAAAAAAAAAAAATTGATAAATTCATATCCTACACATAGTCAACGGTCACTAATTAAAAGCTCATGAAATATTTGCCAAAAAATGAAAAAAAAAAAAAAATGAAAAGGCATAAGTAGCCCAGCAAAGAAAAAATCTTGGGGATTTTCTCAGCTTTTAAGCAGTCATTTCCAGCAATAATCTTCCCACGCATTTGAAAACCTTCCACTCCCGATTGGTTATGTTATAAACACAAAAAAGAACATCAAGAAGCACAAAATCATTTTCAATCATTTGAATGACTAAGTAACCATCAATCTTCTGCAAATTATACTTGAAGCATTAAAATGAAACAAGCCTCAGTTACATCAGTACATCAAATTACATAAGTACAAGAAGCAAATTCATTTAGAAAATAACAAGCCAATGTTAAAATAAACCACTAATATAAAACAATACATGGACTCAGACAATGACTAACGTTATATTCGCCAGATACAAGAGAAATGTTTCAAGATCTACACGTACAAATTCATTAATTAAAGGCCAGCCCATGTTTTACAAATAAATAAAATAACAAAAAAAGGAAAGGCATGTATAGCCAAGAAACATAAAAATCCTGGGATTTCCACAGCATTTCAACAGCCATTTCGGGTGATAATCATCACATGCATCTGAAAAGCTTATACGACTGGTTCTTTGGCCAATTTTCAAAATGTTAATTTCAAAACCATGCATCCGAAATTCTCTGAATATTGGAGAAAATAATAACGGCAAAGAATCAAAACAAGATCGAAATAGTAAATCAAGAACTCACATTTTCTGAAGTTATTATAGAGTCCAAGTTAGCACATGGAGACAACGGGGAATGAAGGATGACATTATTAGACCAACCAAATTATAGCAAATTCCAAATAGCTACAACAAATGCATAATCTGTACATGAATTAATGAAATTTAAACTAAGCTCCACCAGGTTACAAACACTTTCCAACATCGTCAACCATAGCCATCTAGGTGGTTGAAGCTCAAAGTAAAACAAATTCAGAAACAATCTTCTCGAAACAATACCATCTGTATTGACAATTTCCACGGTTAGAATCACCAGGAACCAGATTCCGTAAACCAAGGTAATAGAACGAGAATCATAAGCTTCTAATCCACAAAACTCCACGAAATAATCCCCAAGAAAAGCAAAAGAACGACTCCTTACAAAACCAAACAGGAATATATCGAACCTTCTCCCAAATGAAGACCTCGAGCACACATACGTAAAATCCTAGGTCTTGAGAGAGAATCAATATAATACTGAAACTGATTTTCCTGAATCTTATCTCACTTTCTCTATACTGTAAGACTGCAAATAATTTTCCCTAAATTTTATCTCCCTATAATGGCACCATTCTCTATCTGTCTATCTCTACAAAAACATGAAAATTTCCAAATATCTAATCAAAAACGTGTTTAGTTCCTATTATCCAAAAATCCAAAACCGTAAGGCCCTAAATACCAAAAAAAAAATTCGAGACCATGCTACCATGAGATCGAGGACATCAAAATATTGCCAAAATATCCTCTAACCTGGAAAATGCGTGCCCTAATAAAGTTGTGAAGAAAATAAGCACGCTATAATTGTTCTGTGATTGATCTGCCCTTTCAGAAGAGAGAGTGAAAAAGAAGAGTTTTGCTGTGATTGCCCGAGATCGAGAGAGAGAGAGAGAAAGAAATTGGAGATTACGATGCAGAGTGAGAGAGCGTGCTTTTGTTTCAGGATTTTAGACAGGGAGAACCTGGACCGGTCAAATCAGGGTATGGAGAGAGGGAGATACAAAGAAAGAGTGAGCCCGGCTTTGAGTCCTTTCAAAACCCGACAATTTTCGATCCGGATCATCCATTAAGATTGGAACCAACAGGTTCTGAAATAGAACCAGGCGGCGTTTGATGACGGTGTAAAGTTGGAAAGTCTCCCACTTTCGCCCTTAGTTTTCCCAGTTTGGGAACGCTGAAATAGAAACAGGCGGCGTTTAGTAACGGCGTAAAGTTTGGAAAGTCTCCGGCTTTCTTACTTAGTTTCCCCGAGTTGGAGTACAGTTAAAGTGGGAAAAATCGAAACACCTCTTTATCCCAAGCCATTATTCCTTACGGCCGTTTGTTTCGCATAAAAATATATTTTGGGTAATATTTTCATGCGAAAGAATTCTCTTATGGGGTAAGTGTGGAAATATTTTTATATCAATCTTTTCACACCTATTGATAGCTAATTGTTATAAAAATATTCTTACTTCTAACCCACTTATGGGAATTTTTTCATGTGAAATAATTCTTGAGAAATATTTTGCGTAACAAATGTGTCCTTAAAGTAAAGTTTATGCTCACAGCGACGCATGCGCCAAATATTTTAGGGTTTGGTTCGCGAGTAAATACTCCCTATGAAATACTTATATATGTAAATCGCGTTTCATATGTTTAGTTTGTGTAAATGCATATGCAAATAAAATACCATAGTAAAAAATTTTAGCATGAAATGGTCTAATTCATGGTAAAATAAAACCACACTTATTGAACTGGGAAAACATTCCTCATGCGTTTCTCATCACATCGTAGGCCCACTATCGCTATAATATATATCTATATTAAGGGTGTGGTTTTTGCATAGAGCCTAAGCTCTAAACAATCAAATTAGAGACCTTCAAATATATTTTCATTTTTATTTATAAAGTTTAAAGCTTAAAAAATAGTGTAGATCGAGATATCTATGAAAACTTGAAAATTTTAAAAATTGATGGCCCAAAAATGTGTTACAAAATACACTATTTCCAAAACTTGAAATCTATTTTTTTCTTATGTCCATGCATCTTGATGTTGAGATGATCAATTTGAGGATATTTGCGCATCAAAACAACATCTTCTAGTAAAATTTTTAAGGTAGGCTCTAATTTGATTGTTTAGAGCCTCGGCTCTATATAAACTTTTCCCCATATTAATAGTATATATATATATATATATATAGGGCAATGATTTCATACCACAGGTGTATAGTAATATGATGCAACAACCTTAAACAACCATCTTATGGCTATTTATTTGATCCAAATTTTGAAATATA